CAGCTTTCATATGCATATTTCGGCTTCATTTTATCTATTATAGTTTTCGAGTAAATCTATGAAATATAAAAAAACTGCTTTTTTTAACGTTTTAATTTCATTTTTTCAAATTTGAACGCGTATTACAGCAAAATGGATAAGAGCACAGGAACGTATCTATACTTGCTGGATTCCCCAAACATTCAGCTTTCATATACATATATCGGATTCATTCTATCTATTATAGTTTTCGAGTAAATCAATGAAATGTGAAAACACTGCTAATGAAATCACTAATATCATTTCAAACTTTCTGTCTATGTTAAGTTAATAGTCGATATCAGTTCGATGCGAATATCATCGATCAAGTTGGAAATAATGAATGAAGTCTGCAGAATTATGTTCAGACGGGCTTAACCTACCACCGCCTTCAGTTATTTAAAGCAGTTATAAATAGATCCGTTTCTCATTTCATGCTCGAAACGAAACGAGAATTGATGAACGCCTCAATTAAACGATTGATCTTTGTCCATCTCCGTTACGTTTGTACTTTCACGCCACTATCATTGCACACCTCTTAACGTGTTAATTAGTGTAGTCACGGCATTCTTCGTTGCAATTGCTGCAGGGTTAAGATGATAATCGTTATGCAATTGTTACCAACGCTTAATTTTTCGTTACTTTATTTTGGACAATAAATTTGAGCCAATCGTTTACATTTAGAAACATAACACCAAACGCATTCGATTCCTCAAATATTCATCTTTAATTTCTACGTTTAATATCATTCCTATCATTTACAGTAATTGAGAAATTTGATAATAATAATTGAGACTTTTCCGTTGAAATAAATGTGAGATGCAATAAAAGCAGATGTTTCTGGCGCTGCGGGAGGAACGTTTACGATTTCACTGCCAAGATTAAAAGCTATTTTCATTTCTAGGTTTGAGCGTTTTCATTTTATTCCTTCGCCTCCCCCTCTCGTTACTCCCTCAAATAAACAAAAAAAAATGAGAGAAAGGCCACTCTATTTTCGCGAATTGTCTCCGTTAAAATTCGCATTTTACATCGCGTCGGCATTCAGAAAACAAAAGAAGAGGGAAAGAAAACAAAAGAATTAACGAAGTTCAAGCCTTTCGCGGAGAGAATTAGCATTACGAAATTATCAGACGTTTACGATTGCTGTAATTATCTCAATTCTAATTAAGTTTTCGTTTTATTCTTTAAAAAAAAAAAATGTGAGAAATTTTTAGAATTTAAAATTTAGAAAGTTTCAAAAAAATGTTGTTAATTATAATTAAATTATATTATTTTTGGGTAATTTAACATTTCTTGAATTTACCTAAAGATAATTAAGAAATTTATAAGTTTTTTTTTTTCTTTTAATTTAATAAAATTCACACATGTGAATTTTTATTATATTTTTTTTTTGATTATTCAAGGATCTCTTGACCCAATTTTGAATACATTATGAACCCTCATTGCTTGTCCGATATCTCCAAGCCTCCTGATATATTTTCGCAACAAAATTCCATTTATTTTTACATCCTAGCAACCAAATAACAAACAAAACAAAAACATTAGCTCACTATGTTTTTTTCATAATTTTTTTTTTCGATCCAATTATAAATAAAATAACGATGTCAAAACGTAACTCATTTGTTCATTTTTTTTTTGTGTCAAACAAATGCGCAGAAAACAAATGACTAATTAACGAAATGAACAAAAACAAACGCACTCGTTTACTCTGCTAACAAAAGGTCACAATATCTGCAAAAACAAAATTGAAAATCGAGAAAAATGTTTTGAATTTAATCAATTTCGTGTACTTTATTAAACGATTACGTTGTTAGTAGTTTTCGTGGAAATTCATCTTGTATTAAATTTGTTTTTTTTTTCGCAGCCTGCTTATTATTACATTTCCATTTTATTGCGTTTTCTCCACGTGTTACCCGCTCTTCATTTTCTTTCGTTTTATTCAGTTTTTTCTCCTTACTTCTTATAATACACTTGCGAAACGTCTGCTTTTTTATTAAGTTAATAAATTGTGAGCAAAGAAGCTGTCGTTTCTTCAAAATACGAGCGGTTAATAAAAATTTGTAAGAACTTTGTTGCGAATTACAATTTTATCGTTATGCAACTTATATTACACCATTTGACAAATGGAATAAAATTAATTAAAAAAGAAAATAATTATAAATTTAAAGCTTATAATTGATTAGAAAATTAGTAAAATAATGTTAATTAAGAAATAGGTGAAAAATGATTGAAATTTTGGATAGTTGACGGCCTATTAATAGATGGCAATAATTGTAAAATGTCACTTCAATTTTTAAGTATTTTCTCTTTATTGAACTAATAAGATTTTCAATTTTAAGCTCAACCCTTAAATTGTTGTAAATTCAATGCATGTAATCATAATTTTAAAAATATGACAGATGACTCAACTTTGTAGTTATGCAACACACGAATCACGTTTATCCAGAATTCTGTTTAATTTCTTCGTTTTTCGCACTTTATATAAGTTTTTCTTTATTTATTGAATTAACAAAATTTACACTTTTAAAAGCATTTCTTAAATTATTGCAAATTTAATACGTGAAATCATCATTTTAAAAATATGACAGATGAGTCAACTTCGTGTATATGCAACACACAAATCGCTTTATAAGTTTTCTTTAATTATTGACTTAACAATTTTAAATCCATTCTTTAAATTTTTGCGAATTCAATGCATCTAATCATAATTCTAAAAGAACTATGACAGATGACTCAACTTTATAGTTATGCAACACACGAATCATGTTTATCCAGAATTCTGTTTAATTTCGTCGTTTTTCGCACTTTATATAAGTTTTTCTTTATTTATTGAATTACCAAAACTTACAGTTTTAAAAATATTTCTTAAATTATTGCAAATTCAATAAGTGTAATCATCATTTTAAAAATATGACAGATGTCTTATCGTTGTGGGTATGCAACACACGAATCACGTATCCAGAATTCTGTTTAATTTCGTCGTTTTTCGCACTTTATATAAGTTTTTCTTTATTTATTGAATTAACAAAATTTACAATTTTAAAAGCATTTCTTAAATTATTGCAAATTCAATATGTGTAACCATCATTTTAAAAATATGATAGATGACTCAACTTCGTGTCTATGCAACACACAAATCACTTTATAAGGTTTCTTTCTTTATTGAATTAGCAATTTAAAATATTGTGAATTAAATGCATATAATCATAATCATAATTCTAAAAGAACTACGACAGATGACTCAACTTTATAGTTATGCAACACACGAATCATGTTTAACCAAAATTCTCTTTAATTTCGTCGTTTTTCGCACTTTATATAAGTTTTTCTTTAATTATTGAATTAACAAAATTTACACTTTTAAAAGCATTTCTTAAATTATTGCAAATTTAATACGTGAAATCATCATTTTAAAAATATGACAGAAGAGTCAACTTCGTGTATATGCAACACACAAATCGCTTTATAAGTTTTCTTTACTTATTGAATTAGCAATTTTAAATCATTGCAAATTCAATGCATGCAATCATAATTTTAAAAATATGACAGATGTCTTAACGTTGTAATTATGCAACACACGAATCACGCTTAACCAGAATCCAATTAATTCAACGTATAATTGCAACATCGTCGTTAGTTGATGGATTGTTAATAGATGGCGTCAGGTGTATAAGAAACATCTGTTTTGGCTGTTTTGGGACACACCGCTAAACACACTTGATTTTGTGAAGTAATTTGTGCGAAGTACGCACCCTTTAATGAGACGTAAAGTACGTGAACGCGGTATTAACGCTAATTGCTTCGGTTTAATTCGAAACGATAATTTGCAAACCGGATTTGAAGAGAGATTTGCGAATCGAAATCGATCGATTTTTTTTTCTACAATACAGTTGTAAATCTTAGGAGTATCACTGTTTAATGATGGATATCAAGATGAATAACGCAGAAACATATTATATTCCAAACGATGATAGATGTAAGTTCATAAATGTTACTAGAAGTCGACCTGCAACGTTTTAAAAGCTCCCTTCAAATCGATATGTTACAACAGTCTTGCTCTGAATATTAACAGTGTGAACACCTTCGAATTGGCTCTTATCCAAGCTAAAACTACTTTTATTAAGGACTAAACTATATAAGAGTAAAACACACGCCGTTCGACTTTACGTTGTTATGTAAATTTAGAATGTTTCAGGCAATAATAATAATAACGTTGGCAGTAAATAAGAATGAAACTTTAAAGCAAGGAAACGTGTTTATCGGCCGTAAATCAACTCACTTCAATTAAGTTTTATAGTCGACACATTTTATGGACAGTAATATCGTACATAAACATAAGTTTACAACTTTCACAATAGTTTAAATTCAATTTATAACAATATTTGTAATAATTTTTCATAGCGCCATCTATTGTGGAATAACATTAATTTTTGATTTTAAGCAAATTTGATTAATTAATTAGTCTAATTTCATAAAATTAATAATATTTTACATCTTTTCCAACAGATCAAAACTAAGTTTTAAATAATATTAAAACTACTCAAATTTCATTCTTTCAATAATTAATTATGTTCAAATCTTGAAATTTGAAGAGTTTTAATAGGTAATATTTATATGTTCTATTAATTAATCAAATTGTATAATATCATAAAATTAATAATAGTTTACATCTTTTCCAACAGATCAAAACTAAGTTTTAAATAATATTAAAACTACGCAAATTTCGTTCTTTCAATAATTAATTATGGTCAAATCTTGAAATTTGAAGAGTTTTAATAGGTAATATTTATTTGTTCTATTAATTAATCAAATTGTATAATATCATAAAATTAATAATAGTTTACATCTTTTCCAACAGATCAAAACTAAGTTTTAAATAATATTAAAACTACGCAAATTTCATTCTTTCATTAATTAATTATGTTCAAATCTTGAAATTTGAAGAGTTTTAATAGGTAATATTTATTTGTTTACCAGATTCCTATGTTAAATGATAAGAATGTAACTAAAGTTGCATACATTATTTTAATTATCCCAGCTCCATCTATTATACAATGAAGTATTTTTGTAAGATTTATTTTGTTTTAAATATATATATTTGAACTAATTATGAAAAAAAAAACGTTTTTATACATTCGTTTTCAAAATTGATTACATAATAATAATATTTTTTAATAGCGTCATCTTGTGTAAATTATTGATACTAAATATATTATTTTTTCTTGTAAAAATTTCTTTGTATTAATTATTGGAATTAGTTTTATACATTGAACATAAGCTACACCAAGATTCTTATTTATTTTAATGGCGCCATCTAGTTTAAATAAACGTAAACTAAATATAAATAATTTACTGGGAAAGTTTTGAACTAATTAATTGATGATTATTGTTATTAGGTCGACGACCCGAAAAGATAAAACTTAATTCTCTCCTTATCGATATTATTAATATTGGAAATAACGTACTAATCCACTAATCTCTTTCCCAGCTCACTACAACTAATTTCCAGAGTGCAAAAGCCCCCTATCTTCATTACCTATTGATAATGCTTTAAATAATTGACGAGTTCGAACGTAATGGTATTAATAACGTTAATAAATTACATTCGAATCAGCTAAATTTCAGTTGGAAAAGAAGAAGTTTCAATTAGGAAAGAACAACTTTCCCTCTTTACTAATTTCGGAGATGCAGAGACGTAGTTAGTATACGACGCTTTGATTCAATTATTAATCGAGCGCAAGTCGCAAGACTATCGATCCTACAATATTCTGAAATTAAAAGCGAATCGACAAGAAAGAAAAAAAAAGTTGTAATGAATTGAAGGAATTAATAATAACTCTGGTAAACATTCGTGGAGAAGAAAGAGTTTCCTTTTATTACGAATTGCTTTTGACGACGAACTTTACAGCAAGTGCACTTACATTAATTGCACTTAGTCTAATATTCTCACTTGCTTTCCTTCATTAGAAAATTACAATTTACAATATTGGAAGTAATAAAATTGTTATTTGAAATAAACAAATTGTTTGTATGAATCGGTTTGTATGAATGCAGTTGCAATTGAGGAAGTGTTGTATTCTCGTCTCGAGTATAAAAATAGTCGTAAGTGTGTATAAATAGTGACGATAGGTTAATCGATACAATGTATTAATACTTGTTTGCATGTAGACTTTATATATTCATTAGATAATTGAGAGAGAGAGTGTGTGTAAGAGAGAGAGAGAAGACAATTTGCGAAACGGTTTACTTCCTATTACAGTTAAGATAAGCGAAAATTAATTTTGATCCTATGCAAATTTCATTACGCAATTAATCCAAAACCGAATTAATTGTGAACTAAAAAACAAGTAATAATTAAAATCTAATTAAATTAGTTAGTAGTTTATTTGTTAAAAGGTTGTTTTTTTTTTTAAGTGACCAGATGTAACTAAAATTGCATAATTGCGTTAATTAAACGCCATCTGTTATACAATCAAATATTAATAGGTAGAAATCATTTTTTTAATAAAATCGAACAATAACAACAACAAAAAAAAACATTCATTAATGTGAATTGAACATATTTTTATTAATAATTAATCCAAATTTCATTACACAACATCAATTAATCCAAAACCGAATTAATTGTGAACTAAAAAACAAGTAATAATTAAAATCTAATTAAATTAGTTAGTAGTTTATTTGTTAAAAGGTTGTTTTTTTTTAAGTGACCAGATGTAACTAAAATTGCATAATTGCGATAATTAAACGCCATCTGTTATACAATCAAATATTAATAGGTTGAAATCATTTTTTTTAATAAAATCGAACAATGACAACAAAAACATTTATTAATGTGAATTGGACGTTTTTCCATTTTCATAATTAATGCATTTGTAATAATATTAACGTCAATAATAGATTTTTCAATTTTTAATGATGATGAAACACATAAAAAGTATAACCAAGTATAAATCATCATTCATATTTTATTCGAAAATGATATTAAGTATGAATTAAATTGATTGAATAATTACAATTTATTAATTTCTAATTAGATACTGCAACCATAGTTACATCATTTATTAGCGCCATCTTTGATCGTTACAGATACACATTCTGAAAAGGCGCAAGCTTTACTTTGGAGATTGGTGTAAAAACTTGTTATCTTTAATACTAATAATCAAGAGTAATTGCTACATTCCAAGTAACAAGTATATCTGAGTTTATTATTATTATTTTTTGTTCTTTTAGGTGCGAGGCGATAAAATGATGGTCCATTATGTAGCAGTAACAAGGCGCCCGGAATTGGATTGTGATGATGATGTTGCTACGGCAAGAGCAAGAGTAAAGGGACTTTGACGAAAACAGCGTTTGATGTTGGAATTTCTTCCGGAAGAGGAATTCCATTACCAAACCAATAGCACTTGCGAAGAGTCCGAACCCACGAAAAGTTAATTATAGCCGACGATTACGTTCTTATTATTATAAGTGTAATAATAAGTCAAAGTGACAAATTCGGTTGATTTAGTGGACGTTTTTTCTTTCTTTTTTAATTGAGTCCATTAGATCTCCGTCGCATACCGCCCAAAGTAATTGGGCTAAAACGGAATTTGAATATGCAAATGAAAGAACGAACTATGGGGAATCGGATGGGTTTGTCTGGGTTCCTGCATTTCGCGTAAAACGCTTTCAAAAGTTGACCCAATAAACTGGACATTTACACACGATATCAGTTAAGCCTGTAAATGGAATTTCAATAATGTAGATAAAACTGTATGCAATACAAACTAGCTTAAGAAATTCTAATTTAGTTATGATAAAATTATGTAAAACGCTTATTAAGAATTAGGTTAAACGAAAAAAAAAAATTGTTTTTTTTTTTCAGCGAATATCGTCTGAAAAATTAGTATGTAAATGAAAGGTGAAACAATTGAGAACGAAACGATTAGCATATTTATACAATTTTGCAGATTTCGAGCGAAAAGATTAACGAAATGATGAATGAAGCAAAAGAAAAAAAAAACTGAAATTTATTAATTTATTTATTAATTAGAGAATTTAAGCAAAGTTTGTTTAAATTACGAGCGTCATTGATGGTATAGAATTTGTTAATTAATTTTAGATAGACGGGATTATTTCGGTAATCTGTGCACGTGTAACTCGATTACAGTTAATTAGAATTTAATCCCTTGTTCTATTAACTCGAGCTTTATTTATACTTAAGTTAATGTTATCACAATTTTCAGCTTTTCGTTCAGTGAAAAAGAAAGAAAAACGAAAAGTTTAAGTTTAGAAGAAGAAAAAAAGGGGATGAAGGGGAGGAGAATACGGAAATAAGAGTTCTTATCGTTTCGCGCAACGAATGTTTCTTTGTGTTTATTTTTTCCTGCGACAATTTTAAATATGTTTTGACATATAAAATGAGAGATAAATTTTTACAGATTACAGAATTTTTGTTTGACGTCTTCAGCGAAATGTTACGATAATAAGTAAGCTATGGTTGTCATGGAAACTTTGAACATCTATTAAACTCTACGAGGTATTTGGCAAGTAGCACGTAAATATTAGCATGCAATATAATCTATGGTTGTCATGGAAACTATTTAACAAGTAATCTATTTTGTTCAAATATAATTTCAGAAGATGATTATTGATGATTGTAAATTGTGCAATTGTGATGTGATGATTGTTACCTTTCTCCATCGTCGTTGAAAGCGTAATCTCCCATGATGAGATCTCTGAGACGGTACCTAGGTGGCAGCGGCGGGACGGTGTCTTTCTCGATGTCCTTGCTAAGAAGAAGGGCCATCCTGCCGTCCTCTGTCTCTTCTGGAGGTTCCTCCTCCAGGATGGTAGCCGTCCTCGGGAGGTGCCGAGGAGGCGGCTGCTGCTCCAGGGAAAACACACTCACGACGCACTCCCGCAGGAAGACGTCGGCGAGATGATGTATGACGACGAACTACAGACTGACTGACTGACTGAATCTCACGTGGTAATCGCGACGCGTCTTCGACGCCGAATGCGAGCGTCGTCTGTTACTGCTGCTGCGGCGCGGTGATGGTGTAACGATGGTCGTCGTGCGGAAAACATGCACACGGCTTGGCTTGCGCCGTTTCGACCATCACATCGAACTCCCCCGCTCGATACAATTAAAACATTATTTTCATTAATGCTCTGATCTCTCTAATTACCACAACTATAGCTGCTGCACACTTTATTTTTAGACTCGCGTGTTGCGAGGAGATACTAACAACAAAGAGTGAGCATCCAACAAGTGCTCGAGGAAATCGCGTGCAACGCGAAAACCGGAAAGACCCTTTAGATACGCGAAAATCGAAAGGAAAGAATGAAAACATCTATATATTAAAGAAAAGCGAAACTTCCCTTATCTATTCTCGTGACTTAAGAGTGTGCCCTTTAGTGTCCAGTAAAAAAAGGAAGGGTAAAAAACGGGCATCGTAAAACCCCAAAGACTTTATTATCCTTCGTATAATCGGATTCGCTTTAGCTTCCGCATTTTCTGAAATCCCTACTTCGCTTTTAAGTAATATATCAATACTTGCTCGATTCTCCAAACATTCAGCTTTCATATGCATATATTGGATTCATTCTATCTATTATAGTTTTCGAGTAAATCAATGAAATGTGAAAACACTGCTTTTTCGAGCATTTTTTAAACTTTGAACACGAATTACAGCCAAACGGCTAAAACCACAGTAATATATCGATACTTGCTAGATTCCGCAAACATTCAGCTTTCATATGCATATATTGGATTCATTATATCTATTATAGTTTTAGAGTAAATCAATGAAATCTAAAATGTGAAGACACTGCTATCAATTCAATAAAT